TGAAAGAGCAACAGGAAAGAGGACTGTGCCAGACTGCAAACACCTGGAGAAAAGAGAAGACCTCATGGAATAGGGTAATGTACCAAAGCCATGGCCCAGTGGGACTCAAGCCCTTCCCCCAGCTCATGGGCCAGAGGAAGAGAAACAGAGTGGGGAGGGAGCTGAGGCCTGGGATTGCTGAATACCTAACTCTGGAGATCTTCTCTGGGAGCACAAACCTACATTTCTTGGTGCTTTTATGGTAATCTCGTGATTAGGGGTTTGCAAAGCTAAGACAGGCAAAATACCTGGAGAGACTGAGGTTTCAGTCACTTGTGGAGAGCAGGGATCCATATCCAGCTGCTCTGGGACAAAAGAAAGGCAGGCAGTCTGAGAGACTTCCTAATAGCAAGAGGGCTGCTAAAGGAGCAAGGATTGCACAGAGCTTAGTGCTCAGGAGAAAGGACAGGTGGACAAAATTGTCTGGGTGCACTCTGCCCATAAGGTTGGGAAGTTTCATGATCTTCAGGCACTCCAGTTCCCTGGATGGCTACACAGCTCCAAAGACACTCTCCATGATATGCAGCCCACTGCACCTTTCTTCTGGCTAGCTCCAAATGGCTCACAAACCAGCAAACCTTAACCTGGTGTTAGGCCAGCCAGAGGGAAGCCCTGTCTACAGCAACTACAAATGCAAAGCACAGAGGCTTATACCTGTGTGCTCACCCCACTGGTTCAGGCAGTGGAGACAGGCATAGCATCCGGGAAGCAGGAAACAGCTCTTTCCTCCCCCCAGGCACCAATCCCACTCCTCTGTGACCCCCAACATTGCTTTAGGGGCTGAGCAGCTCCAGAGATAGGGCTTCTGGGCACTAGAGGGTGCCATCTACAAATATGAAATGCCAAATGAACCTGATTCAAAGTAAAATTATGAATACAACACCTGAGAACGATTCAAATGAAATCGACCTCATGAAGCTTCCTGAGAGGGATTTCAAAATAAAAATTATTAACATGCTTATGGAGGTACAGAAAAATATTAAAGAATTCAGGAATGAATTTCAGTCGGGGATCCAATCATTATGGAACACAGTATTGCAAGTAAAACATACAATGGAAAGTTTTAAGAGCAGATTAGATACGGTGGAGGAGACAATAGATGAAATAGAAATGGGAGAAGAGGAATGCAAAGAAGCTGAGGCACAGAAAAAAGGATGTCTAAGAATGAAAGAATATTGAGAGAAATGTGTGACCAATCCAAGCGGAACAATATTCGCATTATGGGGGTACCAGAAGAAGAGAGAAAAAGGGATAGAAAGTGTCTTTGGGGAGGTAATTGCTGAAAACTTTCCCAATCTTGGGAAAGAGACAGTCTCTTAGGCCATGGAGGTGCACAGATCTCCCAACACAAGGGACCCAAGGAAGACAACACCAAGACACACAGTAATTAAAATGGCAAAGATCAAGATTAAGGACAGACTATTAAAAGCAGCCGGAGAGAGAAATAAGATCACATACAAAGGAAAGCCCATTAGGTTATGATCAGACTTCTCAGCAGAAATCTTACAGGCCAGAAAGGAGTGGCATGATGTATTTAATGCAATGAAGCAGAAGAGCCTGGAACCAAGATTACTTTTTCCAGCAAGATTATCACTTAAATTTGAAGGAGGGATTAAACAATTTCCAGATAAGCAAAAGCTGAGAGAATTTACCTCCCACAAACCATCTCTACAGTCTATTTTGGAGGGACTTCTATAGATGAAAGTGTTCCTAAGGTTTAATAGCTGTGACCAGAGGTAATAAAACCACACTAAAGAAAGTAGAATAGTTAATTACTAAGCAAATGCAAAATTAAATCAACTAGCCCCAAAGTCAATCAAGGGATAGACAAAGAGTACAGAATATGATACATAATACATAAAGAATGGAGGAGGAAGAAAAAGGAGGAGAAAAAAAGAGCTTTTACATTGTTTGTAATAGCATATTAAGTGAGTTAAGTTAGACTTTTAGATAGTAAGGAAGTTAACCTTGAACCTTTGGTAACCACAAATCTAAAGCCTTCCATGGAAATACTAAGAGGAAAGTATATTGCAATACAGGCCTACCTCAGGAAAGAAGAACAATCCCATATGAACAGTCTAAACTCACAATTTAAAAAACTAGAAAAAGAAGAACAATGAGGACCAAAGTCAGTAGAAGGAGGGACATAATAAAGATTAGAGCAGAAATAAATAAAATTGAGAGAATAAAACAATAGAAAGAATCAGTGAAAGCAAGAGATGGTTCTCCGAGAGAATAACAAAATAGGTAAACCCCTAGGCAGACTTATGTAGAAAAAAAAAAGTCTACACATTAACAGAATCAGAAATGAGAAAGGAAAAATCACTACAGACACTACAGAAATACCAAGAATTATTAGAGAAAATACTATGAAAAATTATATGCTAACAAACTGAATAACTTATATGAAATGGACAACTTTCTAGAATAATACAACCTTCCAATGCTGGTCCAGAAAGAAACAGAAAATATAAATAGACCAATTATCAGCAATGAATTGAATTGGTAATCAAAATCTACCTAAGAACAAAACACCTGGACAGATGGCTTCACCACTGAATTTTATCAAACATTTCGTGAAGACCTAATACCCATCCTCCTTAAAGTTTTTCAAAGAGTAGAAGAAGAGGGAATACTTCCAAACTCATTCGATGAGGCCAGCATCACTCTAATACCAAAACCGGGCAAAGACACCACAAAAAAGAAAATTACAGACCAATATGCCTGATGAACATAGACACAAAAATACAATACAAAATATTAACAAACCAAATTTAAAAATACATCAAAAAGATCGTTCATCATGATCAACTAGGATTTATTCCAGAGATGCAAGGATGCTACAACATTCAAAAATCCATCGACATCATCCACCACATCAACAAAAAGGACAAAAACCACATGATTATCTCCATAGATCCTGAAAAAGCATTCAACAAAATTCAACATCCTTTCTTGATAAAAACTCTCAACAAAATGGGTATAGAGTGCAAGTACCTCAACATAATAAAGGCCATATATGACAAACCCACAGCCAACATTCTACTTAACCACGAGAAACTGAAAACTTTTCCTTTAAGATCGGGAACAAGACAAGGATGCCCAGGCTCCCAACTTCTATTCAACATGTACTGGAGTTCCAAGCCATAGCAATCAGACAACACAAAGAAATAAAAGGCATGCAGATTGGNTTTGTGTTCCACTTATTGTTGGCCTGTACACAGCCAAATCTACCACATTTTTATAGTCTTCTAATTGCATATATCAACTGAATTAGAAATATTCACCACTCTATCATAATAATAGAATTAGATTACAATTTCCTTGAGTTTAATGTGTGGCAGGCACTGTGGCAAGGACTTTATATGGATAATTTAGTCTAATAACTAAGACAATCCTTTGAAATACTAGGACATTTGTAAATATTAAAACATTTTGCAGATAGAAAAGAATGAATAAATCTTCAAATAGACTTGGTTGTTGCCTAAGATACATATTTAGCAATGGTGAAAATTGAAATTAGAATGCAGCCAGGCTGACTCCTCAGCATTCACTATTAATCAATCTACTGTACTTCCTTTTCCTTTAATCATTTTCTCTTCTCCACGTCTATGACCACATTCATTCCAACTTTTGTTTTTCTTTTTATCTTGTGGTTCTCTGGGTCCTCCTTCTTTTGTGTTTACTTGCCACCTGCTCCTCTTCTGTCTGACATCTCAATATTGGAATGCTTCAGGGCTTAGTCTTGAACTCTCCTCTGCTTTCATTCTGTATTCTTTTCCAATTTGATATAATCATTTATGTGGTGATAATCCCAAGTGTATATCTTTTGGCTAAACCTATTCAACTCTAGTTTGCATATCTAATTTCAATCATCCATGTACACCTCAACCCTAATACAACTGAGTCAAAAGTTGTTAAATATTTCCCAAAGTGATCTTTCCTCTGGCAGCACCACCTTGGAAAAGCATTGCCATTTACCTGCTTGCTTATGAAAAACAAGCAAACATGTGAGCCCTTTATTGTTACTTTCCTATGCCTAACATTTAGTACCATTACCTGTGTTTTCTATCACCAAAATATATCCTAAATGTGTCCTCTGCTCTTCATCTCTTTGGCCATCACTGTACCCCAATCACCACACTTTTGTCGCCCTACATAAACTCTGAATCTTCTCTTGCTCACCAAAGCACAGCATATGGGGAAAAATATTTTTAAAATCTAAAAACATGTATCATTCCTTTCCTTAAAACTCCTGTATGGCTTTCATCAATCATAAAATTAATCCCAATACTGGCATGCCCTGAAATAACCTGGATAATCTTTCCTTTGCCTCCTATTCAGCTCATAAAATTAATTCTCCCACATCTTGAATAGAATCCTCTCATGCTGATATTTCTCAGATACTGTATTTTTATCAAACCTTTGCACATATTATTCATGGGTTTGGAACACTCTATACCCACTCAGTTTTATATAGATTCAAGCCCTGTATTTAACCCTGGAAAGCAGCTGATCGGCAAATGTACAAGAGATTCACATAACATCCACAGAATTGTCAATGTTGGAAAATAAACTGCTTCTCTCAGGACCTGTAGAAGTTGTGAAGCAGAAACACAGGAGCAAAAAAGGTGAGGAAGTTCTAAGAAACTAATTTTGGTCATGAGAACCCAGTTTTAAGTAATATGAAAGCTTGTACTTAGAATCACAAAGCAATTATACTTTATTCACATACCTATGATATATATGGCTCACAGGAAATGTTAATTTATCAGATAGATTATCTTTGGGCTTCAAAACACCCTCTTCTCCCAGTTTACATTGAATAAGAAGGAGACACATTGATGTAAATAATTGTTCCTTTAAAATGATTATAGATAATTCAAATTTCTTAAAAATGGAATATTTTAAACAAATTTTGTTAATTCTGAAAAAAGAATACCTGAAAAGAAAATACTTACCATGACATGTAGGTTTTTCATACCAACCATTGTCACCACACACTATGGAACCTGTCTTGTGCCCACCTTTGCTTTCATATCCATCATGGCATTCAAATTCCAGCTTGTCATAAAGCTTAAACCATGTGCCATTACTTCTGGCTCTGGAATTCTCAAATACTGGTGTATCACAAGATTCTAAGGCATAATAGAATTAAAGACTACATTTCTAATATTACTTAATGGATGATCAAATCGAGTAAGTCCAACCCCAAGGGAAAATAAGCTGTATCAAGTAGTATGTGCTAATAAAGTATCACATACAAGTAATCTAAGAATACAAATGATAAATCATTGTCTTGAAAAAGTTAGTCAAAATGGAAAAATATGTTTCTACACATTTTCTTCATCAATTATGCCTTCTGAAAGATTTGTTTTAAGGATAGTTTTCTAAATTCAATTATACTCATGCATTTGCCCTATTCTTGTAATAAAATAGGTCATTACAGATGCTTTGTACTTTTTTTAACAAAGCATAATAGCATTTCGTGAATTGAGATGACAACCATATCAGCAGTTGTGAAATATATACAGTAGAAAAATTGATTAGTTGAATAAAATGGTTAATTTTCAACAATGTGTGTAAATTTTTGAAATTCTATAAAACACTAAAACATACTAATATTTAAAACTCACACACTGATTTTGATTCCCAAATATTTTCCTAATGGCTATGTATTCTTTCAAACTTACCAAGATTTAATATAGATAAATTTTTATTGTTTATAATTAGTTTTAAAAAGAAAGTGTTAAAATAGTCTCAATTTATACTAATTATACTAGTCAAAAAAGGTTTAAATAATTTATCTCAAATTTTATAATGTGCTAGGTAGCCAGCTAACTTAAGAATTTTAAAAAATAGAGCAAAACTATATTAGTAAAAAAATTGTAATCGAGATATTTTTTCTTTCATAATGAGAATGTTATAGTGGATAATAATCACAATATAGTATAAAGTGAGTTTTAATGATATGGGAGAAACTTTTGTAATGTTTTTCCTTTGGCTAGTGCCCATACTAAGCATCAAAATAGAAAAAAAAACCAAAATGAAAACAGTAGAAAGGGATATTTTAAAATCCACTTCACTCAAAGTGAAAATGTTAAATATCACTTCAAAGTTATCACTGTATGGCTTTGGAGTAAATAATATAAACTGAGGAAATTGTTCCTAGAATATCTTCATAAACATATAGATATTGTGACGGGGCAATCTTTCAACAAAGCAGAATTTGGTTCTATCTAGGAACATTTCTCTGTTTCCAAAAATTAGATGTTCATGAAGATTTTCTAAGGGACAGAATTTTTCAGAAGTGAACCTACTCTATAGGATCCAACATACAAATCGTACAAATGTACATCTAAATTATAAGGAAAATGTAACTAAATTATTCCAAAAAGCATGCACTATGGACCCATATTCTAACTGAAAAAAACATGAACTTTTATATTTACAAAGAAAAATATTCTACCATAAAATTTTGATCACCTAAAAAAAATACAACAAGCACAAAGGTCTCAGCTAAAAATAACTGATTTTACACGAGAATACACACGACTCGCTAACTAGTTTCTGAATCATGGGATATAAAGTAGGAAAAACTTGTACTGAAAGATGAACTGATATTCTGCCCTACTAGTGATTAATTTTAAAAGGCAAAATATTGTGTATTTTTTCTTAAAGGTTTTAAATATATTCTTTTAAATATAACCACATCAAGCCCCTCTTCCTGCCCCCAAAAAGTTAAGTTTAAGTAAGCTTCTGTTCAGTGATCATTAGGATAATGAACACTATCATTTGAATCACTTACTAATGCATGTAGGTTGGGATGACCATCCACTTTGCAGACATGTAACTGATCCTGATGTTTCACCATCTGCTGTTACATATCCTGGTTTACATTTATATTGTGCTTGTCTATTTAAGGGATATGTAAATTCATATTCAGAAATGAATCCATTCTCAATTTTTATCTCTGATTTTGAACAGGTTTCTAAAAAGGAGAAAGCATAAGGAAAAGGTATGCTTTTTAATAAGGACTCAAATAATAAAACAATGCAAAAACAAGTAGTCATTTGTAAATGGAAAACTGGAAGAATCTTAATCATCCAAATTCTTGTGTCATCAAATTAGTTTATTTACAAATTTTTGGAACAAAGAAAGATTTATAAGACTCAGAATCCCTTCTAAGAAATTAGAAATCTTTCTGTCTAATGGATATATAATAATGGATCTCTACTAGCAATGGATCCTTTGTTGGACTTGTTTTAAATATTACCTAGTTTGGCTCTCTGAAGCAACCCCAGAACTCAGTTAAACAACAGGGGTATTTCAGGTCACGTTATCTCAGAAATCTTCCACCATAGAGACAGACCACAGCCTTTGAGTCTGAGAATTTGAAATGTTTATTATCATAACTGAGTGCTTAAAACTATACAGATACATGGTGTTCAATGAAAATGAGAAAGATCAACACATTCATTTATCTTTAAGGCCAAAATGATGATTCCTCAAATTAAGTATAACTTGAAATAGTAAAGGTAAACTTTTGTTGATTATGAGATTTCTTCACAGAACTCAATTTCATTATTAAATGGCTCATGGATAAAGAAGAAACAATTGTTTCTACTTTAAGAAATTAGAAAAAGGAAAGCAAACCAAACCCAGCATAAGTATAAATTTGAAAAAAATAAAGTGATGTACGACGGTGGAATAGAATGCCTTGAAATTTCCCTCTGTCTACAGACACCAAATATTAGTAGTTATAGATGTAGTTATTGCCTTCATTAGAAATACAAAAACTAGCTGAGAAACTCCTGCACACTGAGTGAGGAATTGCCAACATCCTAAATGGTTAGAAAAAATTGAGATCCCTTCATCCCTAAACAGTACCATATAATTGAAAGGGAACTCCCAACTCCCAGCTTCTCCTTAAGTAGCAAAGGGTATGAATTACACATCTAGTGCCCCAGTTTTCCAACTGGTGCACCAGAGTCTGAGTTTTAACTTGTCTGTCTCTGGGAGGTAGTGGGCCTAAAAGTTGCTATTCTCCTGGGAATTATGGAAAACAAAGTGTCAGTTATGAATCTGTGTGCAAGCACTTCTCACACTTCATCCTCCAGCTTAGTGAATGGTTAGCAGGCAGCAAAGCTTAGCTCCAAGTTTCTCCCAGGAAAGAGTTAGACTATGTATCTACACCTAACTTTTCCAGCTACTGCATAAGAGATTGACTAAGAACTAATAATCCCCAGAATTTGTTGTGTGCCCAGGAGCTACAAAGAGCAAAATAAAAGTTTGAAAGAGCATGTGGTTTGAAAGAGTTTTGTATGCATTTGCCACAGTTCCTCTCCCCTGCTTAGTGCAGAGTAAGTAAAATTAAAAAAATTCAGCTCCCAGTTTCACCCTGAGTAGAGAAAAATTGTACCAACTTTTCTAGCCACTATGCAAGGGATGTTTTTCTCTCACCTATCTCAGGACACTGATGGGACTTGGCATACTCTAAACTCTTGGGATACAAAGGGGGAGTTGGATGAACACAGAAGTATGACAGGCACATGGAATACCTGACTGGTCTGATTGATGGAGGCCTTCTAATGTACAAGGCCAGTCTTTGAAAACTTGGAGATAAGGTGTTTTATTTAATGTGCAGATATCAATGCATGGTCAAGGAAGATGATAAAATTGAAAACTATGCTCCAATTAAAAGACAAGACAAATCTCTAAAACTGACTGTAGTGAAATGGAGATAAATGATTCACCCAAGAAAGATTTAAAATAAAAGTCATATCAGATGCTTACCCAAATCAGGAGAGCGATACATTAACAAAAAATGTCAACAAAGAAAATAGATCAAGCAGAGAAAAGATAAAAAAGATCAGCAAACTCAAAGAAATGTCACTGAAAATAATTGAGTCAGAGAAGCGAAGAGAAAAAATAGAATCAACAGTGACAATAACTTAAGGCACTTGTAGGACATTGCCAAAAAGATCAATATACACATTATGGGAGTCCCAAAAGAGAAGAGAGAGGAAAAGGGTAATAAAATATTTAAGGAAACAGTGTCTGGAAGTTTACTAAATCTGCGAAGGAAATAGATCCAGGTCCAGTAAACTCAAAAGGGTATAAAGTAACATTAGCCCCAGAAAACTTCACTGAGGCACATTATAATCAATTTGTCTAAAGTCAAAGACAAAGCAGAATTTTGAAATCAGCACTAGAAAAGCACCAAATAGAATGAAACCATAAAAATGTAGAGATCTTATAACAGAAACCACCCCACAGACCAGTAGGCAGTGGGATGATGTAGTCAAAGTACTGAAAGAAAAAAAAGTGTCAACCAAGGATACTATACCAGCAAATTTGTCCTTCAAAAGTGCAGGGGTGGGATTGGTCTGGATAAAAGATGGCAGCATGAGAGATGAGACAGAGGCTTCCTCCTAAAATCGCATATTATATGAAAATATAATTAATACAACAATCCTGAAAGAGCAACAGGAAAGAGGACTGTGCCAGACTGCAAACACCTGGAGAAAAGAGAAGACCTCATGGAATAGGGTAATGTACCAAAGCCATGGCCCAGTGGGACTCAAGCCCTTCCCCCAGCTCATGGGCCAGAGGAAGAGAAACAGAGTGGGGAGGGAGCTGAGGCCTGGGATTGCTGAATACCTAACTCTGGAGATCTTCTCTGGGAGCACAAACCTACATTTCTTGGTGCTTTTATGGTAATCTCGTGATTAGGGGTTTGCAAAGCTAAGACAGGCAAAATACCTGGAGAGACTGAGGTTTCAGTCACTTGTGGAGAGCAGGGATCCATATCCAGCTGCTCTGGGACAAAAGAAAGGCAGGCAGTCTGAGAGACTTCCTAATAGCAAGAGGGCTGCTAAAGGAGCAAGGATTGCACAGAGCTTAGTGCTCAGGAGAAAGGACAGGTGGACAAAATTGTCTGGGTGCACTCTGCCCATAAGGTTGGGAAGTTTCATGATCTTCAGGCACTCCAGTTCCCTGGATGGCTACACAGCTCCAAAGACACTCTCCATGATATGCAGCCCACTGCACCTTTCTTCTGGCTAGCTCCAAATGGCTCACAAACCAGCAAACCTTAACCTGGTGTTAGGCCAGCCAGAGGGAAGCCCTGTCTACAGCAACTACAAATGCAAAGCACAGAGGCTTATACCTGTGTGCTCACCCCACTGGTTCAGGCAGTGGAGACAGGCATAGCATCCGGGAAGCAGGAAACAGCTCTTTCCTCCCCCCAGGCACCAATCCCACTCCTCTGTGACCCCCAACATTGCTTTAGGGGCTGAGCAGCTCCAGAGATAGGGCTTCTGGGCACTAGAGGGTGCCATCTACAAATATGAAATGCCAAATGAACCTGATTCAAAGTAAAATTATGAATACAACACCTGAGAACGATTCAAATGAAATCGACCTCATGAAGCTTCCTGAGAGGGATTTCAAAATAAAAATTATTAACATGCTTATGGAGGTACAGAAAAATATTAAAGAATTCAGGAATGAATTTCAGTCGGGGATCCAATCATTATGGAACACAGTATTGCAAGTAAAACATACAATGGAAAGTTTTAAGAGCAGATTAGATACGGTGGAGGAGACAATAGATGAAATAGAAATGGGAGAAGAGGAATGCAAAGAAGCTGAGGCACAGAAAAAAGGATGTCTAAGAATGAAAGAATATTGAGAGAAATGTGTGACCAATCCAAGCGGAACAATATTCGCATTATGGGGGTACCAGAAGAAGAGAGAAAAAGGGATAGAAAGTGTCTTTGGGGAGGTAATTGCTGAAAACTTTCCCAATATTGGGAAAGAGACAGTCTCTTAGGCCATGGAGGTGCACAGATCTCCCAACACAAGGGACCCAAGGAAGACAACACCAAGACACACAGTAATTAAAATGGCAAAGATCAAGATTAAGGACAGACTATTAAAAGCAGCCGGAGAGAGAAATAAGATCACATACAAAGGAAAGCCCATTAGGTTATGATCAGACTTCTCAGCAGAAATCTTACAGGCCAGAAAGGAGTGGCATGATGTATTTAATGCAATGAAGCAGAAGAGCCTGGAACCAAGATTACTTTTTCCAGCAAGATTATCACTTAAATTTGAAGGAGGGATTAAACAATTTCCAGATAAGCAAAAGCTGAGAGAATTTACCTCCCACAAACCATCTCTACAGTCTATTTTGGAGGGACTTCTATAGATGAAAGTGTTCCTAAGGTTTAATAGCTGTGACCAGAGGTAATAAAACCACACTAAAGAAAGTAGAATAGTTAATTACTAAGCAAATGCAAAATTAAATCAACTAGCCCCAAAGTCAATCAAGGGATAGACAAAGAGTACAGAATATGATACATAATACATAAAGAATGGAGGAGGAAGAAAAAGGAGGAGAAAAAAAGAGCTTTTACATTGTTTGTAATAGCATATTAAGTGAGTTAAGTTAGACTTTTAGATAGTAAGGAAGTTAACCTTGAACCTTTGGTAACCACAAATCTAAAGCCTTCCATGGAAATACTAAGAGGAAAGTATATTGCAATACAGGCCTACCTCAGGAAAGAAGAACAATCCCATATGAACAGTCTAAACTCACAATTTAAAAAACTAGAAAAAGAAGAACAATGAGGACCAAAGTCAGTAGAAGGAGGGACATAATAAAGATTAGAGCAGAAATAAATAAAATTGAGAGAATAAAACAATAGAAAGAATCAGTGAAAGCAAGAGATGGTTCTCCGAGAGAATAACAAAATAGGTAAACCCCTAGGCAGACTTATGTAGAAAAAAAAAAGTCTACACATTAACAGAATCAGAAATGAGAAAGGAAAAATCACTACAGACACTACAGAAATACCAAGAATTATTAGAGAAAATACTATGAAAAATTATATGCTAACAAACTGAATAACTTATATGAAATGGACAACTTTCTAGAATAATACAACCTTCCAATGCTGGTCCAGAAAGAAACAGAAAATATAA